CCCCACTCCACTTATCCCAAGTGCCTTGTTATATTTAGAATGACACTAAAAAAATACCTGTGGTAAAAAACACTTGTAACTTAACATATCAAGTGCCTCAATGCCTTCCTTTTGGAGAAAAAGAAAAAGAAGAAAAAAGAAATCAAAGCTTTCATTTCTTTTGAGAAATCTAATCCACACCATATACACTGCAGGGGAGAAAGTGTCAGGGGGGTGAGAGGGAGGGGAAAGAGTCTCCATTTTCTAGTCTTTCTGAAGCCCTGCTCAGCTAAAACAAGTGTAGCCTTCACACAGAAAATGGCTGTGAACACTACAGAGCAACATCTGCTTTGTGAGTGTAATCCATAAAAGGCTTCCAAATGCCCTTAAAAATTGTTCCCTCTTTTCCCCAGTCTGAATGTCATCTCACAGGAAGCCATCTGGGACAAGCATGCCAGCTATTCTGCTGCAGCGATAGCAGTATTGTCCTCAAGTGCCTCAGGATGAGTCACATCAATGCAAAAGTCCAATTATAGTAGAAGCCCCCCAAAGCAGAAGTATCATTTCAAATAAATAAGACTGATGTAGCTGAACCACTGGAATTCAGAATGTAATTCAGTCACTTCATCACCTTTTACTGAAAACTTCTGCATCCCTTAAAGCACCCATGCTAAATCCCCAATCTGGTTATGACATTCCCAGCACAGATGTGATAGTCTTAAGCCCAGTGTGTATGCATTTAGAGAAGTCAATTACTTTTTTTTTTTTTTTTTTGGCTTATTATTTTAAAATAGAGCATTTTTAAACCTGGCGTTTCTTACCACTTTAGAGCAGTGAATGAACAGTGCCATCCACTGTCTCTCTGCATAATCCACAACATTTTCCTAGGACAGTCTTAAATAAGATTTAACATAAAAATTAATGCCACACTTGAAACAAAGAAATATAGATTGGTAAAAAGATGCAAGTCAAAACATATTTTTAAGGAGTCAGGCTAAATCATAGAATGACAACCCTAAAAGTAGATTACTACAAAGGAGATTTTTCAAAATATCTCCTCACCTGTGGATGAGCCACTTTAACTTAATTAGCTATATTGTTACTCATTTATCCTAAACCCAAATACTTCTCCAATCAAGTATGCCATCTATTGTGTTGTTGAGTATAAGTTCTCTCTTCATCTTGTTATAAGAATTACATTTCTTCTTCAGTGTGGTCATCAACTCTCTAGAACATGACCCTGACAAATGATACTGCTAAGAACAGGTGCCTTTAGAAATGTTTCCTACAGAAGAATTAACAATATGGTGTGAATGGGACCCTGTTTTCATGGACTGAACACGACCAACACAAGACTATATGTGCCTGAATGTCTTTGACAATGGAAACCAAACCTTATCTTTTAGATGCATATTTTATATGCTATTCCTATATAAAGATTCCAAACTCATCCCATCTATGGTATTGTGCATCTCACTTTGCTAAACACAGATACCTGCGCTTTTCAACAATGCCACAGTTCAATAATGCAAATACACAAATGCGCTCAATGTTCACCATAACAGAAATCCTACCATTATTATACCCACTTCTTCCTGTGCTTTGATAGAACACAACCTCAGTGCTCAGCGTTTTGCTAGACTGATCTCACAAGATTTATCTTGAATCCTTTTAAAATAAAAGCAAAAGAGCCATTGACCACAATGATGAATGAATTAAACCTTAACAGATTGCCTCTCACTGCTTTACTCTATATTATTTTCTTAGAGGGAATGTTTAGAATTTCAAGTAAAGACCACTTTCCAATTCAAAGTGGCTGTAATTTCTGACTTTTCTTATAGTACAGATCTCTCATTGACACAAATAATGGTAGAAACATTATTTAGAAAATTGCATAACTGCTGAGTCTCAGGTAATTCAAAGGATAATTACTTGTTCATGATCAATGACCACTGATTATATACTACAAAACACAGAGCTATAAAACTGACAGATGACGAAAGCATATAGTTATAACACACTGTGCTGTGAACATGACTTTTATGAACCCAATGCATAGCGCCCAAAGTTTTCTCTTAGACATTTATAGAAAGGGAAATGCATACAGTAGAATTGGTTTTACTGATCAAGCTCATGCTCATTCATATTTCAGGATCAAAGATTATTTTCCAAAAGCCACTTCCTATTGATGCTGTTGTGTTTGCTCCTCACACACAATGATCAGCAGGACACTGGGTTGTAAGGGTCAGACTGGAACTGGTTTCTTTGATTTTCCTATTATGTTTTCAAAGGTAGGAAAGAATTCCACATCTTTCTGAAAGTCACTGGCTGTAAGCAGAGAAAACTAGAGCTCCTGAGAGAGTAGATTAGACCCGATTATAACCTGACTGAAATGTTATTACAATAAAATGCCTAATACAATTCCCTCTTCTTTGGATGTAGATATTTTGACCCCATGATCCCCATGCTTGTAGCTCTTTTGACTACCCACTTTGGGGAGCTTGCTCGTATTGAAAATGAGATTTCATGTTGACAGTATTAAATTTCAATTCCTTGTTCTTTACAAAAAGTCTGCTGAGGAAAGACATAACAATAATTTAATTAATTTTGTATTACATTGTGTTTGGAAATACTAAATAATGTTTGATAATGTCTTGGATCTCCAGCATATCAGTTGTTCCTTTGTAGAAAAGGCTTGTCTCACCTTTAAAATGCTGCAATAATGTCAAAATCGCAAGAGTTTCCAACATGGAATTGTTATGAAAATAAATAAGGGATTTACAAGCTGATCACTTGAGGAATGGGGTATCTCTTCCACTGACCTTTTCTTTTCTATATGCTTAAGGCAACCCAAAATACTTAATGCCTCCAGCTATAGCTGTCATATTAAAAGACAGGAAGAAAGATACAGCAAGAAAAGAAATTACATTAAATCTGTTAAAACTCACACATCATCAACTTACTTCGCAAACTGTTGATCTGACAAAGAGGAACAACACAGCTGTAGGACTTCTTTTCTTAGATGACTTCTGTTAATAGTGCCAGTACACTTAGGATCATAGGACTGCAAAGCCTTATGAAAATCTTTCCAATTTTCTGTGATTTTGTCTGAAACTATCTCCTCCACCTAACAATCGAATGAATTAATAATTAAAGAAGGGGAAAAAAAAGTGTCCCTGAGGTTAAACTATAATAGCATTGCCACATGAAAAAATGTGTTAAAATGACAAATCTAATATTGGAAGACCAACACTTACTGAAAATGAACTATGTTATCACTTATGGTATTACAAGCTAGAACAAGAAGAGCAGGTTTCTTTATTTGGCTTGTTCCATTAAGCTATTTGTGAACCATCTAATTTAAAACAAAGTTATGCTCAACTAAAACAATTTTACTGTACTAATTTCAAAGCATGATGCAACATCAGGCCCAAAATTCACCTTTGAAAATGTTTATTCTGAAAAGTGGCTGAAAAGTGTCTGCAAGAAAGTATAAACCTCACTTCATAGATCTGCTTCTTCAAGTGTCTGAAGAGGCATATCTACTGACTGATAACACCGCAGAGCTTTTACTGTTGTTTCTCCCCTCAGTCCTGTAAAGCTAAATCCGCTAGGACCGAATGAATTGCAAGTGGCACTCAGCTTACTCAGGGCATAATTTGAAGACAATGGGCTTGCACAAGGGAAAATAACGACAAAATTTGGCTTACTGAACCCGCTTTAGGATCTGTCTGTAGCACTAGCAGTTAAAATAAAAGTGTTTTTCACTTGTAAATTGAGTACATTAAAACCAGAAGGTTCTGAGAAGAAACAAACACAGGATCAGCTTTTGACAGAAAATCTCAGCACAATTGCACATCTGACCAAGCACTGTACTGTGCAAAATTTCAGGTGAAAGGAAGGAGATAGAGATGCCCCTTAGCTTGTCTTAGCTGGCTGGGGGCCTAGATTGGTTCTAGGTTCTGGTTCTGCCCGTTGATGCTTTTAAGGTTTCTCTGACGAAATAATTTCTGAGAAATTATAAAAACGAAGAGATTTCTTGAAAAAGTTGTCCTCTCTCATTTCTACAACCTGTAATACGTCTTTTCTACAGAATGAGGCACACTGATGGAGCTGGCTTCACCACTCAGGAAGCAAAACAAAAGAATTCCCAGGCACTCAGGCTTCCTAGCAGCTGCTTTTCATCCAGATCTGGGTACAAACCCAGACACAGAGTCCAGAACAGACCTACTCCTCAGGGCAGAATTGCTCTCCAAGTATGAAACCACAGCCACCAAAGTCATGTGTGGCTATTGTGTCATCCCTGGTGGTATTTCATCCTAAGGTGACAATGTTCTATGATGTTTAACATTTCCTTTACCTGCCTTCCCTCATGCTAGCATCTACTTCATTTGGGATGCTTATTTTAAAAGACAAAAATGGGCAATTACCTGTGTACATCTCTAATATGAGCCTAACCAGCTTAATTTGTAAATCCAACTTAATGTGCCCATCAGTTGCGCATGTAGGCACTGTTAGCATTTGCATTTTCCCCAGCATGCTAATTTTACAACTATTAAAGTTTGCCCCAGAATTTCAGCCAGACCATTATTCTACTCAAAACCAGCTGGAAGGGACTTGAGCTGCTGCATCAAATGTTGCTATTGTTGGAGCCATCAGAGTGGAAAGCAGCCTGTTTCAGCTCCTAACATCAAAGCATTTCAAAGCAATGCACACCATTCAGAGCTGTTCAATGGGACCTTCTTTTTGTATGTCTAGTATCTCTCTTGTCACTACTGCACTCCTTTGATACCTCTCAGAAACACTATCCAGACTACCTAAGACAAAGTTAAATATGGAGTTAGTCAATTGACATACTAATGCAAACCTAAAAGACATTTGACATTGAGAATTATGAAAAATTATAAATAGCTTCTTAACATTAGGAAGTAGATTTGCAAACTGCAGCTTAGGTTATTTCTTAGAATAATTTGGTAAGCAAAAAAGTATTGACTTACTTCTTTCAAAGGAAATGGACATACTGCACAGAAATATTGACTGTGGGTTTCAGGATATAACCTTTTTGGACCTTTGGTGAATGGTTCTAAAGGAAAACATTATAAGACAACTGCAAATTCAGAAGGTGCCAAAGCTGCCCCCAGGAAAATATGCAATGTCTATGTAGTATATAGCATATATTTTGAACCAATGTATATTATAAAGAATAATAGATAAAACAAGAAACAACAAAAATCAGCAAAACAGATCTGACAACTGAAAGATAAGAAGTACTACTGCTGTTCCCCCTCTGCTGTACACAAATGTGTGAGGTAGTGATTCTGCTGGAGTTTTCAAAAACCTCCAGTAACTGTGAGAGTGCTTTCCAATTGGTGCTTCAAAAAGAAGAGTCTAGAAGTGCTGATTATGATTATTCCATTGCTGGAAAGAATGTGAACCTCCTAACTTAGATAAAAACTGTGTGCAGAGCATAACATTTTAGCAAAACACAATCCAGCGTTTTGCCATAAAAGAGGTTATGATTAGAGAATTAAAAGTAAACACTTACTACTGATTCTTTTTCTTCAAACAAGTCTAAAAATTCATGATCGTCAAGGTACCCAGTCTGTTCGGGATCAATTATCTCAATTAACTCCTGGAAGTCTTTATCTTTCATTTGAAATACCGAGTGACATAAAACGTGACGAAGGTCATTTCTTTTGATCTTTCCGTCTCGTTTCTAAAACAAAAGAAGAAAGCATGCATAAAAAAGAGCGAACATTTACTAAAGCAATGCTGATTCCAATGTGCCATTCTACGCTGCTAGATCATCCTGACCTATAATAACTGAGAGCTCTGTAGCTGTTTCAATAGTCTGCATATACTGAATCTAGTACTTTTACTCCAGTTCCCAGTGAACGTACAACTGCTATATTTACTGGATGGAAGGCTAAAACTATGGGAATGAAACTACAATAACCTTTCCATTACCTTGGGATAGATTACTCAATTTGATGGTAAACTCTGCCACAAGTGAGTGGATACGTAAACCTGCATTGCACAGACTAGCTCACATTCAGGCCAGTTTATCAGCTGCATTTTGTTCCTTACCTGGACTGAAATCAATGTCATGCAAAGCCGTGTCTGACTGAATAGTTGCTGGGTCTGAGTGGACTTGACTCGGTTGAGTCAAGTTGAGTCTACGTTGCTGTTACCATGTACCCCAACCATTGCCTTAAGTCCATGCAAAAGTCCATCAAGTGATGTCTGGTTTTAAATCCTAATATAGCTCTCAGCATATTCATAGCACCTGAGCCCACATTTATCAGTGCTCACCTGTGGTAGGATTTTCATCATGTTTAACTTCAGAACAACAACCAATAACTCAACTAAACATTTTGTGTTTGAGCACAGCTTTTTCAAGGGCTGTAGTCTTCAGACGTGGTCCACAGCCATGATGGTCCATAAGCCCAGAATAAATGCAAACACTTGGATCACTACAGATATTTCAGTTTAAGATGCAATTATAAGTACATTGTGAGACTTGGGAAATTCTGACTGTTGACAGCGGTGTGTTAAACCAAAACATTTGAGACCTACTGTCATTGGACTTCCTCTTTCTTTTCTCTTGCTTCCTTTGCATCTTAGTATGCATCCTTTAAATCAGCTATGCTGCTAGGCTGTGTCTATTGGCATTCTTGACCTGGCTACTGAGGGTGAATCAGCTCTCAGGGAGAATCTTTATCCAGGACTTGATGCCCAGTCACATTGTCATGCCAATGGATACTCATTTGGACTGTAAGGTAACAGGCAATGGATATGTTCATGCAACAGAATCAGGATATTTTTATTTGACTACACTTAAGGCATAGTTTTTCTCTCAGTTCCCATGGCAAGTAATATCCATAATTTATGTAGGAGAGTTTTAAATATGGGTTTATACCAACTCTTTTCTATGACTGTCTGTTTCATTTTATAATTTTAAATTTGTTCCTGAACTTCTACTCTTTTTTTATTTGTTTCTTTATTTTCTCTAAAGAAACCTGAGGAAAGATAATGGGGGAAAGAAGAAGAAAGTGTGGAATAAAGGCTTTGGAACAATAACAGAAAAATTAAGAGTAAATAGTTCCTTCAGTGATTCAGTTTTCTTGGCGAAGCACTAGACAAATATCTTTCTGTTCATAAAATTCACCCTAAGAAAATTCTGTTTCCCTTTAGTCCCCCACAGAGATCCAGGGTGGCAGTAATAATACAGAGGATGAGCAATTATTTACTTCATCAGTTGGTCTGGGAAATACTTTAAAGTTTTGCAATCAAAAGATAATGGTCTTGTGAAACTACTATCTAGTATTTGAATTTTCTTTAGAGACTGTTGTCACTGCATTAAATCATATGGAAGCAAAACCTGATAATATACCTACCTCCCCCAGTAAATAAGTTAGGGAATCTGGTACTGAAGCTACAGAGATAGCTTGTACTTCACAAGAAACAATTGTGCAGAATGCCTAGGTCTTACCCATGAAGATGAAATATCTGTTATAATAAAAATAAATTAAATTTTGTTCAAATCTTAGATAATACAGCAAAGTTAAGATATACTACATCATTTATTAAGCATATTGCATTTGCTTATTTGGCTACCTTGCAAGTTTAATTTTATTTATTCAAAAGGATTTAATTTTATTACCCAGATCGTTATCTAAGTCAGCGTCAGTGATATGACTGGGGATATACTGGTCTATTCCAACAAAAAAACCATAATGTTATGTATAAATATAAAGTGTTCTCACATGTATTTCTTTCACTGTGGGAGTGTCTAGATGCTGGGGATTAAATATTTCTTTCTTCAGGCTGTCTTTACACCACCTTGAATACCTCTGCCTTTGTTAACAATTTCATTCAGTAATGCTCCGGTTCAGTAAATGAATTAAAATCATGCAGTAAAGTGCCTTACTGAATCATGGCCTGAATGCTGTAGGCATTATTATTAGCTATTGCAATGTATGAAACAGATTTCTTTTCTTATAAATTGCTAGGTGAATTCTTTTTGTGGTCATATATATACATGTATATAGATAAAATACTGCAGAACTAAAAAGAACTTTTTATATAATTATATTAGAAAGGAATTGTGATATATCATCTATATAAAACCATCTAATAAAAAATGCCAATACTACTTCTGAAGATATGCCCAGTGCTCCGTTTGCTTGTGTCAAGCAGACTGAGAGCTTTAATTTTTTCAGTCTATTATTTGCTCATTCAGTTCAGAAACACAGAGTCTACAATTTAAGAAGTGCAATATGTAGCAAATCAAAGTAATAAAAAAATCCAGCTTGTCCACTATAAAGGGATGAACACACAATGCAGTGCATGGGACATACATATCATGACATTCCATCAAAACTGACAGAAAGGCATTTTAGCATAGTTCTCTACATCGTGAGGGCCACAGATAGACAGTTCTTTATCAAAAACTCATAGAATGGTTTAGGTTGGAAAGAACTAGACACGAAAGGTAATAGAAAGTCTAGAAAAAGTCAGATGAAGTTACTTTTGAAACTGTAGTGAATTACACGACAGTAGGCTCAACACTGTCAGTGTCACACATAAATTACAATCTACCTGTCAGATGATAAACTGCAAACATAAACCTTTTACAAATACATGATAGCACTCTCTGTTCCTGTTATATAGTATGAACTTATAATAATTAATGCACAGTTCCGATTCTCATTAACTGCACCTATCATACCGATTTTACCCCTTCAGCGAAAGAGATTTGCCTTGTCTGTAATTTCTCCCATGTGCACAGGGACCACGGGGATGTACAGTCATTGCTAGGCAGTGTATTTGCATGCACACTCCCTTCTTTTCCAAAACGCTGTATCTCAGATTAAGGGGTAGCCTTATCCTGCACATATTAATGCCTATCTTTAATTTAAATGTCATTCATAACCAGTTGGTCTCCTTTAGCATGTAAATCTAAATAGGTATTCATGTTCTGTAGTATTTTTACAGTATTTTGTATCTTCTGTACAAGGTTAAAACCATTATTTATGTTCCTTTAAACCTTTTACATTGCTGGGAACACTCTGAAGTTTACCTGATGCCAGGTATCAGAGCAGGACAGAAAACATTTTAGTTTCTCTTATGAATCTGTTGCATTTGAGTAAGAATTTGAGTTAGGAGACTTTCCAATATTACTTGAATTCCTTGTCCTGAGATGAACAATCTCTTTTTAAAAGAGACTAAAATAAAAGCAATGAAATAATGCAGATGAAAAATTACAACTTGATACTGCAATTCTAATTTTCTAAATTTGCGGGAGAGGAGAGAGTTCGAGTTGTTCCGCCTGGAGAAGAGAAGGCTCTGGGGATATGTTATAGTGACCTTCCAGTATCTAAAGGGGGCCTACAGGAGAGCTGGGGAGGGACTCTTTATCAGGGAGTGGAGTGACAGAACACGGGATAATTACAGTGAGGGTGGTGGGACACTGGAACAGGTTGCCCAGAGAAGTTGTAGATGTCCCACCCCTGGAAGTGTTCAAGGTCATGTTGGATGGTGTTTTGGGCAACCTGCTCTAGTGGAAGGTGTCCCTGTCCATGGCAGGGGGGGTTGGAACTAGATGATCTTCAAGGTCCCTTCCAACCTAAACCATTCTATGATTCTATGCAAAAATATGACTGTGAAAGAACTATGATGTTGCATCTTCAAATGACCCAAATGTCAATGCTTTAGGTGACTGGGACACCATGTGTGATCAAGAACAAGAACTATCAATCAATGCACTCAATATAATGGAATGTATAAAAATGAGGATATATAGTAATAAAAATTTTTAATTTAAAAAGAAAGCTCAGCTAATTTATACTGAATATTGCCCCCTCAGATTATTTTTAATGCCTTTTTGTTTCTGCGTTTCAGAATATAGGGAGAAACTTTTATGAAAACATTCTAGGAGGTTAGACACATCGTTTTATTATTAATTCCTTGGTGCTGAAACACCAGTATAACTTTTTTTTTCTAGGATCTGGGTTTAAAGTAAATCACAAATACTGCAAGACTCACAAAAGAACATCAAAGAGTGCTTCACTCATCCTTTTATAAAACATCAATCTGGTTCAACATTTTAAAGTCAAATTTGTAGAACATTTACAGGGAACATTATATTTCTAGCTTGCATGTTAGAAAGCACTGCTACTAGGTTGGGATTTTGTTTTGGATTAACAGGGACCAGTAGCATTTTAGACTCCAACACATCAAGAACAATTCAGAAAAAAAAAATCAGTTGGAAGAAAAAGGGAGCAGGCAGTTGCTTGTGTGCTGGGCAGTGATGTGATGAAGAATCAGAAGCATGCTGCATGAACCTATTAAAAACTTTTAGATAAGAATATGAATGTATTTCAGTCCTGGAACAGAAGACATTCAAGTTCAAATCTATTTCTATCTCCTGAAAAACAAGAGCAAGAAACTTACTTTTGTTAACTCTAACACAAGAAATGTCTTTACTTGGTTTACATGGGTTTTCATAATAGCAGAAAACCCACTCACACAATTATGTAAATATTTAGGAATGTTACAAATTCACACAAGTTTAGACATTAATAATGAGTTTACTGGGGAGATCACTGCTCTGTTGAACTATCACATACAGCAGCTGAGCAGGAGAACAGTATTTGCTAATTGTTATTAAGCAGACCCTAATGTGAAAAGAAAATATAACATCCAAGAAGACTTATTTGTGTGGATCACATGAGACAGAACATTTTTCATCATATTCCTTCTGCATTAAGTGTCAAAGCCAGTAGGTATTGCATTTCATTTCACCAATAAGGAAATAAACTCTTCTGGGAGCTACCACACCTGATGATAGACTGTGGTAGGCAATGAAAGGAGGAGATCCACTTGAGCCTAGAGACAGCCCTGAGCAGGAGGAAAGCAGAGCCAGGTTTGGAGATGAACCCTGCATAATCAGGATATAGAATCATAGAAACTTTTAGGTTGGAAGGGACCTTTAGGGTTATTAAGTCCAACCATCAACCTAACACTACCAAAACCCACCACTAAACCATGGCCCTAAGCACCACATCTACCCGTCGTTTAAATACTTGGCGTTTAAATAACTCTGTTTAAATACCTGGCGACTCAACCACTTCCCTGGGCAGCCTGTTCCAATGTCTGATAACCCTTTTGGTGAAGAAATTTTTCCTAATATCCATCCCAAACCTCCCCTGGTGCAACTTGAGGCCATTCCTCTTGTCCTATTGCTTGTTACTTGGGAGAAGAGACCAACCCTCCCCTTGCTACAATCTCCTTTCAGGTAGCTGTAGAGAGTGATATGTTCTTCCCTCAGCCTCCTTTTCTGCAGGCTTAACAACCCCAGTTCCCTCAGCCGCTCCTCATAAGACTTGTGCTCTAGACCCTTCACCAGCTTTGTAGTCCTTCTTTGGACACGCTCCAGCTCCTCAATGTCTTTCTTGTAGTGAGGGGACCAAAACTGAACACAATACTTGAGGTGTGGCCTCACCAGTGCCGAGTACAAGGGGACAATCACTTCCCTAGTGCTGCTGGCCACACTATTTCTGATACAAGCCAGGATGCTCTTGGGCTTCTTGGCCACCTGGGCACACTGCTGGCTCATATTCAGACAGCTGTCCACCAACAGCCCTAGGTCCTTTTCCACTGAGCAGCTTTCCAGCCACTTTTCCCCAAGCCTGTAGCACTGCATGGGGTTGTTGTGGCCCAAGTGCAAGACTTGCACTTGGCTTTGTTGGACCTTGTACTATCAGCCTCGGCCAGTCGATCCAACCTGTCCAGGTGCCTCTGTAGGGCCATCCTACCCTCCAGCAGATAGACACTCCCGCCCAACTTGGTGTCGTCTGCCTCATCCAAGTCATGGATAAAGTTATTAAACCAAACCAGCCTCAGTACTGAGCCTCGGCAAACACCACTTGTGATCATCCACTAACTGGATTTAACTCCATTCACCACAGCTCTTTGGGCACAGCCATACAGACAGGTTTTTTACCCAGCGACGAGTACACCCATCCAAGCCATGAGCAGCCAGTTTCTCCAGGAGAATGCTGTGGGAAACAGTGTCAAAGGCTTTACTAAACTCTGGGTAAACAATATCCACAGCCTTTTTCCCATCCACTAAGTAGGTCACCTTGTCATAGAATGAGATCAGGTTTGTCAAGCAGGACCTGCCTTTCATCAACCCACTCTGACCGGGCCTGATCACTCGGTTGTCCTGCATGTGCCGCATGATGGCACTCAGGATGATTTGTTCCATAACATTCCCCAGCACCAAGGTCAGACTGACAGGCCTGTAGTTTCCTGGATCCTCTGTCCCTTCTTGTAGATGGGCGCCACATTTGCTAAGCTCCAGTCAACTGGGATCTCCCAGGTTACCAGAACTGCTGATAAATGATGGAAAGTGGATTGGTGAGCACTTCCGCCAGCTCCCTCAGTACCCTCAGGTGGATCCTATTCAGCCCTATACACTTGTGTGTGTCTAGGTGGTGTAGCAGGTTGCTAACCATTTCCCCTTGGATTATGGGGGCTTCATTCTGCTCCCCATCTCTGTCTTCCAGCTCAGCGGACTGGGTACCCAGAGAACAACTGGGCTTACTATCAAAGACTGAGGCAAAGAAAGCAGGAAGTACCTCAGCCTTTTCCTCATCCTTTGTCACTATGTTTCCCCCTGCATCCCTGAGATAACCAATGATACCAGTCAACATAGGGATGTCAACAGCTGGAAATTAACACATCTGGATTCCTCTCCTGGAAGCAGCAACTAACAGGGCTGTCCAGAACCCTGGCAGAGGCAAAATGGGCTTTGGGACCCTGCCTGTGCTGCTCTCCTGGGGTAGTTTGCTGCCCAAGGCAACAATATACCTTACTTATGCCCAGTGGCACACTGTTTTGACTAAGAAATGAGAACGCTACAGATGCAAATGGCACATGTCAAACAAGTGTGATAGATAACAGAACCAGATAACAGAAATTTTCAAATGGAATTGTAGATAATAACCCATTCTCAAGTACGTCTGTTTCTAATAAGGTCTTGCAAGGGCTGACTTACCCCTGTGCTATACATCCTTTTTACGCACACACATACATATACATGTGTCCATGTGTGTATAAACAGAGTAAACACAGCTCTCTCTCTCTGTATATATATATTTATACATCTATATGTACATACATATGTGTACAAATAACCTGAAAAAAATTCAAAAACTTTAAAACATCAGATGACCATAGATAACTGAAAGACAAATGGAACAGTAAAATGATGAAGAAAACAAACCACTGACACAGCATGACTGGGAAGAGTAAGCACAAGGAGAGAATAAGCTTTCTAATAAAGTCCTACATTGAGAAATGGAGAAAATAGGCTAGAATAGAAATGGAATCTTAATTATAAGAAGCAGTTACTCTTAAAGATTTGCAGGTCGTAATACATAATCAAAGCATAAATAAATTGCCAGTATGACATTAGGCATAAGGGACTCACAATCTGTGGATGTAGAAACAGGGGAACACTTAGCAGTATCTGGAAAGTTATGTTATTTATTTTTCTGGTACCAGTGCAACTTCTATGAAAGCGCCAATTCTCATTTCTGTCATAACATTTCATGAAATATACAGAAAAACCAGCAGGGGTTCAAAGGCAGCCACAGGGATTATTAGAGAACTGGCCAACACAACTTCCAGTGAAATTGTAGGAGGTCAATAATTTTTGTTTATCAGAGAGGTTGTTACAGATTATTTAGTCCCCACTTGCACATATCTATGTTAAAGAAACTCGAAAAACAGACTCTGTGTGCTGCTGTAACAGAAAACAAAGACTGTCAGTTGCCAGATTACTCTGAAGCAGATACAAGACACAAATGTTTAGCTGTAAGAGTAATTAACCAAGGCAACACCTAAAAATAATTGCTCTTACTTCATCACGCATAAGGAATGCCTGCTTTAAAGAGGGATAAGCATCTTGGATGTATCTGCGCAGCTTCTAAAGAACAGTGTCACTGGAGAAAGCTTCATCTCTTCTAGTTGGATTTACTCTGCAAGAAGAAGAAAGACAGTCTTTGCAATGCTTTCATGTCTCACCCTCTTTTGCTCACTATGTTCTTCTCAGAGCAGGAAGAATAAATCACCTCATTAAGACTCGAGTCTGATAGTCTTCAAAATAAGAGCGCACTTAGAGAAAGCATTGCCAAAAGATTTTTTAACTGAATTGAATCAAGGGTGACCATCAAGTGGATACACTATGCATTTTCAATAAATATGTATACACAGGTTACTCACATAAAAAAGGAACTGCCTACTTACTTATGGTTTTTTCTCATGGAAATTGTCTGCCTGTTTTCAAAGGTGCTACCAGGATCCCGGATTTTTTCTAAAAATTGTTGCCAAGCAATTTTACCTGTGGCTTTCAGTCCAAATCTGATTTTTAAAAAAGAAAAGAGTTTTAAAAGATTTTCTTATAAAAAACCTCTATATTCCAAGAATAATTTTGAATTAGAACATCACATTATGATTATAATATCAATGTGTGCAACATTCATAGTTAGAGTAAGCCTGCATAGCTTTTCTTTCTTACTAAATACGTAAACTGAGCCAACTTATTTTCTCAATTCCAAATGTCTAGCTGTGGAAGAACTAGACCCCAAGCAAGAATTCATCTAACCAAATGTACATGCCTGCACCTGAGCGAGTCACTCTAAGTTCCCTTTATAGTCATTGGGGAGAAACAGGCACTTTCAGGACAGGATTCATCTCATCCTAAAGTAGACATCTAAAACTGGTTAGATGAATCCTGCCCATTGTTTCTCTCCAGTGACTATAAAATGGAGTCAAGGAGGAGCAGTTCAGGCGTAGACATTCACATTACAGATGTCTAGAATGAGATAGTATTTAATGCATCCCTTCTCATAATTTACACATAACACTAAAGAAACTAACTAAGGGGAATAGTATGTTGATTTTTTTAAATGTTATGATGTTCACTGTATCCAAATTCGAAAACTTTGAAAGTACTGGAAGTGTTAAACTATCTTGAAAATCCTGGGAAGATAACTAGGATCATATTCCATGAATAACTGGTTTAAAAATCAATAAGGACCTGATCCCATGAGCCCCCAAACCTTTGGCATATCTCCTATTCAGTTTCAATGGTACTCCAGAAAGCTCCAATGAGCACGGCTAAACGCACTCCTACTTCAAATGGTGATTTGTAGGCAATTACATCCCTCAGATATTATCAGAAACGTGCTGACTTGCTACTCTAGTCATATCAGAAAAGCTTTTAAAACTCCTAATGCTCCTTAAAATGGTGGCAGATGGTGTTTAGAGCATTTGCTAATCCAGGATGCATAGGACAAAGCTAAAAAATTACCAAATGCAGTCAGAGGTACGCAAGACTTCCTGGATCTTTTACAAAAACCCTCCAGTTTTTGGATGACCCAACAGTTTCTCAAGCTCAGCCAACAAAGCTAAAACCCACAAGTTACAAGAATCACAGCATTCAGGCTTTGGTTGACTGCAACTTGACAGCATGGGTTATTTAACGGGTGGGGAGGGAACCTGACTTTTTATAGTGGTTCTGCCTGTGAGTAGCACGCACGCACCACGGCTCAGTGGCTCAAGGGCTGAGCATCTCCCGCTGCACGAGCGGCACAACTGCACCAGAGCCCAGAAGAGGGGCTGGGAAGGGCCAAGCACCGAAGACTCAAGGTAAATGAAGACAGAGGCAGTGCTGGCATTCAAGTTTCACCAGGGGAGCCATTTCATTCCCTGCAGGGAAGGGCTTTGCCAACAATACTATTGAGGGATGGGTTATTAAAAAAAGCTGTGGGAAGGATAGATATTTCATATCTGATTATTGTCTTGGATAAATGAATATGAAACAAACACTATGAAATAACAGATGATCTTTAAAATTAAGGCCAAGATAACAACTGTTATTTTGAGCCCCCAACAGAGATCCCTTCACACTCAAATGTCTACGGTCTACTAAATCACTCAAATCACGCTGTAGAGAGCAATTCTGTACTGCAAATGAGCAACCAGCCAAAGCTGCGTCAATCAGAGCAACAGACCTCTCCACTTCCACCTCCTTGCTCAGAAGTCCTACAGTCAGTGACAACTGCCAAAATCCTGGGACCTGAAGGGAATTTAGGAAGAAATACTAAACCGGATGTCTGAAGGTCTGGCATTATAGCTATTATTTGTAGTGCCATTGACTAGTCCACAAGACACAGAAGTTTTCCTCCATTCTGCAGATGGGTAGTGGATTGTGGAGCTCTTCCAGTTCTGCCTGTGGCTGGCCAATACAGTACTTCTCTCTTGCAGGTTTTATCACTGAAAGGGATGAATCAGACCCTCACAGGGGCTGGGGAAGTGGAGAAGGAACTCCCCAGCATCAGGTTTTGTGGATCAAATTGAAGAAAGCCCTGTTTAGACAGAGATAAGTCAGTGGGAAGAAATGCTGAGGAAGGACTTTGGTGTACTTTTTTAATTTCAAAATAATCCCTCTTTATAGTTCTAATACTGGCCCTCAGATTTCAAGCTGTTCTAGACGGGCCATAAGTACAATATTTAGATGCCATAGGTAGAATGGCTGAAGCATAGAAAGATCTTTCCACTCTAGGGCCAGAAAAAATGCGCATCTTTTCTGAGTGGTAATCCAGCATTTTATCTACTATTGTAGGCCAGCCACCTTATTAAGTAATAAAAATAAATTCTGCATGGCTTTTTGGAAGTATGCTTATGGTTATGTCCAAGTACAAAAGAGTACAATTCCAAAGAAATTGACTGATTGGAGCTGTAACAACATGGATACCTTGTAAAAACATGTGATATATCATCTTGCAGTGATCCTTTATAAAATGCTCCCCATTGAGAAATTTTTAACCATCAGTGCCTTAGCATCTGATACTTCTATATAAATAATAAATTAAAGAAATGAAGCATGAGGGCAACACAAAAAGTTTAAAACTACCTCAGCTGCTGAAAACTGTCCTTGTGTTTTTAACTATTATGTTCACCAAAGTCCTGACCAACTGAGCACAACGATTTACCTCATATCACATATAAAAGTCACAATTAGAAATCTCAGCAGCCACCAGAAAAGAGTCTTAGAAGTTTGACATTCCATTGGCAAAGCCTTCATACTGGTCATGTATGATTTGCTCCCAACCATAAGCAAGAATACCTTTCACTCACACCCCTCAACCTGTGAAGGGACACAATCCACAGCAAAGGTCCAAAACATAACCAAAACATAACCAAAACATTTCTCATGTGGGAATGATGAAATACTGTGAAATTAATTCCTTTAGTTTATGCAACTCTTTATATAAACTCAAGTTCATGATGTTTTACTTCGAGGTGAAAGAATTTTCAAGACCAGAAGTGATGGAATTCAGGGAATTTGGGACTCATCTGAGTGATGTCCTTTGATTGAAGTACACCTCAATGGTCTGCCTCTAATGTATTTGATCTTGCTGCAGTGGGGACGTATACTGAGATAAGTGTGTGGGTAATCTGGTCCTAAACCAGTCAAGGATGAAATCCTAGCTGAAGTCTAAGGTAGAATTGCATCAACTTCAATGGGCCCTGAACTTTATATCAGGAGCCCATGAGATGTAAATACCTCAAACAGCCATAAAATGCTGTCATGTATTATTTCTTATAAACAGCTCCCTGGCACATCTCATGTCATATTATTTAAATAGAATCTTAAAACCCTTGAAATCACGTCCCTTGCCCATCAATTACTATTACATTTATTATAAGCTACAATGAAGTTACTTCATTATTAGAATTAGATGACTATGAGGAAATTTTGCTGTTGTTCCATTCACCTGGTGGAGCTTTTGAATTACATTATCTGAGAAATATCACCTAAGAGATATGGCATACATAGGCTTGAACACTTCTGTTTACAGCATCGTTAAAATGTCACTATATTTTTCAAATGCTAGAGAAAGCTCCAGTGGAAGAATACATGCAGAAATCTTTCCATTATGCAACTGCTCTTAGGAGCAAGATTTACTTTAAGATTTAAACTAGCAAGTGACATGAATTGAAAAAAAAAAAAACTATAATAGCAATTTTTTGACAAAGTAATAGTTGATCATTGTTATATCACACTGTGAATGACTAGAAGCAAATCAGATTTATCTGCTGAATGCACAAAGCAATATGGTTACTGCAGATGACACTCTCATACAGCACCTGCTGCTGTAAAACGTATATCTGCACTGAGCTCTTTACAGCTAACTAGTGCATATAAAGAAAAAGATAACTCAACCGATTATTTACATGGATGATTCTGTTCTTCCAACAATTTACATAGGTAGACTATAAATTGTGGAATCATTAAGCCGTAATGCATGATCTGGTTACTGACTTCCTAACACTGCATGATTTGGGTGCCTTGTCCTGTTGTTCTATGCTTAAGCAGTATTTTGGAGTAAAAATGCTGTGTAAGAGTTAAGTTGTTCTTCCTTTCTCTTTGACTGGCCATATGCCCTTGGCACTGTTGCCAACAAGTATAAAGTATGTTCTGGCAGTTTTCTTCTCACAGTTTTTGGTTTCTGAGTACAAAAGATTAATTATGAGAGATCCTGCTCTAGATTTAACCAAAAGCCAGAAAAACATCCATTCCGATGATATTTTGGCTTTAAAAGGGACATATGAGTTTAGGAAGCTAGTCAGCATATGCTGAAGTGATCATGTCCAGGAAATCATATTTTGGAAAATGTCCTGTGGCCTAAACTTTGTATGCTGAGATCCTTGAGGCCAGGCAGGAAAATGTTTTCTACCCATTTATCTTCTGTATGCTATACTGCCAAGAAGACAATTTGAGTTTTGGTCATAATACTACAAAGATGCCTGGTTAAAGTAAAATAGTACATTGACTTGAATCCAGTAGTTGGCATGATTTCTCAACCTTTACCGCAGTTATTAATTTTTTTTTTTACAATGTCAAAAGACAAGTTCAAAAGATTTTTGCCTTATTTTAGTTTAAATTCAAATTTCCAGGTATGAAATTGTTTTATTATGCAGCACAGAAGTGTCCCTTCAGTTATCTTTTTCAGTGACTGACAATGAGCAGTGCAGAGTGAAAGCTTTCAGCATTAGTTCATTTATTCACTTCAGCTTCACTTCTTCCTTTCTTTTCCTTGCCACACCAGCATATTTAAAAAGGAGAGGCTTGTAGAGTTACACTGTCACCATCCAAATATGGTGCTAACAGTCGTGAAGCTGCTCTTCCAGCAAATTCGCACCATCCCACATCACTAGTCATTTGAATGCAAGAGAGTAACGCTCCCTTTAGGAAATTAAATCCCAATTTTTGAGCAAATAGAAGTAAGAAAGCAGTAACTTAAGCTTCTACTCCATTAAGCCTATATACCTTACTGCAAAAAACTTGGGTTTATACCCAGCTATATCAGCTTTTACATCCTGCACCATACATATTGCAACACAGCCACAAGTAAGATGAATTAATGATGGTAGTCACAAAAAGCAATAATAAAGTTATAAAGCAGCAGTGCTAAAAAATGTCCCCTAAGAAAATAATGTGATTCTTACCTACTCATTAGCTCTTGAAAAGTTTCATTTGGCAAAGGAAATATAAAGCTCTTTATAACTGACTTCAAGTAATCCAAAGACACAAATCCACTCTGACTGACATCGATTGCTCTGAAGGCTTTTTCAATGTCCTGATAGGCTGAACACAGCTGTAATGAATACAATTTATAGTGTTTTGTTCAGAAAAATCAAGTTCATGAAGCTTTTAAAACAATAATGCATTTTTTACAAGACCTTTTCAAATGTTCTTCTCTGTGAACTGATCAAATAGGTTACCCCGGCATGCTCTGACCGTCAGATGTTTAATTAATAAGCTCACTACACAACAGTATTCCCAATCACACACTCTCAAATGACAAGTCAGACAAGTTTCTCAAATAATAACTCTGCCTCAAAATTCAGAGCTAAAAATACTTGGTGGATCAGCCTGTTTGATAACACCTGTCTTAACGGAACTTTAAAACCATCCATGGCATAACCTGGTATCAAAGTTCCCTTTATCAAAAATGGGTCGTTAGCACAAAGAATACTTGAAAATGGTAGAAGACATGGAATAGTTAACATAGCTGTTGTATAAACATATCACACATTTCTTTGGTTATTCTTTTAATTCATGGGCTGTTGCAAAGGAGCTATGTGGATGTGTTTTTGCTTATGGGACTTGTAAAATGCCTGAAAGTTGACTTACTGCAGATTTTGATAAGGCTCATGAAACAATAGGAAGACTGGTTTGTTTTTCTGAAATGTTAGCTCACACTGGGTTGTTGAATACTGCAAGCATCCCTAAGGCTTTTCTCCCCCCGCCATTTTTTGACAAGTATCCCATCTGCTTCTAAGCTGATTACTGTTCATTCAAAACTGCCGAAATCACACTGTAAAGATAATGTAGAGAGAGACTTTAGAAAGCCCAAAATAAACATCAAGGACTGGGAAAGCTTGTAAGGTGAGATGTACTGTGCTTCCAATCCAGGCCTTGACCTCCATATCAAAGATATACAAGATGAAAAAGGGTCAAGATGTTGAATGTCCCTGTAGCCTTGTTTGTCCCTCCTCTCCTGTCTTTTCAAGGCTGAAAAAGCACGGTTACAGGTCTGTGTAACTGAGTTTGTAGTAGAATATGAGGTCTTGATGCACAGTATCAGCTTCTCTTTTCTTTGAGAGTCAAGGTTTTCATGACTTAAAGACACAAGAGTGAGGGTCGGAAAATTTTCTTTCTTTTCACCTTCCCATAAAGCAGCTGGAACACAGTTACGTTCCACCGTTGCACTCCCCAGCCCTCTTCAGTTAAGATCACATCTAAGGGCATGTTGGAGAGGTCACGTGCCTTGTCTATTCCAGCTCCACTCTCTATTCTAAGCTTGCCATCACGTATAAAAAAATGTGTTTCTGCAGTAGGACCTATTCACTAATAATTTATTTCATGCAGGTCAGAAAATAATTGTCAGACAATGATAACTAGTCATTACTCAGTGTAAGTCATTACCTACTTGGATCTGACAGAGTGATCTAGCAATTCACACCATGAAACACCTTAGCCATCAAGCTTCGATGCACTCTCATTTTGTTTTAGCCTAAAGAATCTGCAGTTCTAATACACACATTTTAAATGATGTGAATCTAATAAGCAGGACTGGAACACACAAAACAAAACAGAGCTGCTGCTTCTGCTAACTGGTTTTAAAAGCAAACAAGAAACCTTGTGCATAGAATTTGTTCATAAAAGGAATTGGTATAATTAACTGGCCTCAAAGCTTGGCAATGTTCTTTTCCTGTGATGCTTGGCTCAGCTTCTCCACTTGTCAAAGTATTCCAAAGTATTAATGGCACTCCTTTACCTTTTCTCTAAATGCCCTCTCAGTGCTAGCCAGGCTGCACTCTGTCACAGCATGCTCAGCTGGTGAAGACTGTAGAAAAAGTTTTTTCTGCTTCTGTTCCTTCTCTTTCATTTTCTGGCAGATTAGTGCTGTTAAAAAATCTGAATTAGCAAAGTCTGCAGCTTTGTCAGCTTCAAAGAAATAAAGCCATCTAAAACTCTTAAAGACTGTTTTTGTTAACTGGATAAAACTTTATGTACAAACAGACTAAACCAAACCTGAAATACAACGTCCTCATATTTTCATGTATTTCAAACTTGATCAGTAGTTTGAAATTTTGCTAACTAATCTGTGCATTTGTTGTAGCAGTTTTTCATTTCATATTTCTTTTAAAACATAATACTCATAACTTACAATCTTAACAGGTAACTTTATTACATTTAATACCAGAAAGTTCTACTAGAAACTAACTCCCTCTCTTTGTCAGTATGTGTCCAGAATAATCCACTACCAAAAATATATTTTCAGGAAATGGAAGACAGTGTCCTCATAGGCCTTTGATAACAAACATGCTTATTGACCTTGAAAAGACTCTGTTCTTTTTCATTTCCTTCACATACTCCCATCTTACTGTCCCATCTTAGCTCCCACAGTCCTTGGAAGAGCTTCCAGTTACTGTAAGTCAAACAGCCCTCCTCAATGATTCCCCATCAAAAAAAAAAACCAAAACCACCAACAAAACACAACACCAAAACCAAACCCGTTCTGCAGAACTTTCATTTCAGCTGGGCTGAGCAGCTAATTTTGTCATGGTGGTTTGTTGTATACTGCTCTACTTAGTGTGCTGTTGGCACGTACGCTCTTTGGGATAATAATTATGCTACGGACGTGTTACATTTGATTAAGAGCATAGCAGCAACTGCTGTGACGGACAAGACACAGGCATTTTGAGAACCTTACGTGCACCAAACCAAGAGTATGCGTGCACCATACCAAGAGTATGTGCACCAAACTATTTCAAAGGTTATTCCAGTGGGGGTCCATAGGAAACAAAATGTTTCCTATGTATGGAAAAGGATACCAAAGCATGACTACTCTGTGCTTAGGGCATGCTCTCCACTGTTCCCTGCGCCTGGGAACATAAAAAAAAAAGCAAGCTATACTTTTTATTGCTTAAACTTTTGAAAAACATTTGTGGGAATGCTCACTTCCATTTCAATTGGAACCTTTGGTTCCATTTCAATGCTCCCCTGTTTCAATTTAGTTTTGGCTGGGTACTAATATTTATTAAACAAATATCACTCAGTTTTGCACCTCAGAAATGAACCAGAGATATTACCACTCATTTACTGGATGAATTTAAAATCTATTTTTTGACCAATGTTGAGTGATTATTCTTTTACCATTACTTTACATGGACAAGGCTCCACTTCTCCAAGTGGGTGGGTGAAAGAGAAGAAACGGCATCAGAGGGAAAAAGGTGAATTCAAGACACTGTGAGCACAGTAGGGCTGCAGGAACACCCCACAAGCAAGGTCTCTGGATGTCTGAGGCATCCTATGGTGGAATAAAGTGGGGGGTTGAGTCCCATTAACTATGTGGGTTAATTAAGAAGGTTAATCACGCACAATGGTAGGTACAGCATGTACTGGGAAGGAGGAGAAGCCTTAATTCATAAGATTATTTCTCCACAATTTCAGTACTCCACACAGGAAAAAATATATCTATTTTTAGTAGTTATATGTACTTCTAGTAATGGTTTCAAAACAATCTTCGATATTACTGCATAAACTTAAAAACCTCTATAAAGTCAAATCATGGTAATGAAAAATGGTGAGAAGAAAAAGCATTATTAAAATACTAGATACTATTAAAATACTTCTGACTTCATGATTTCAAAAGAGTTCAGCTTCTTCTGATCCTACTGAAGCCAATGTGAACTGTTGATATTCAGGGTCTTTTACCATCAGGCCAAAATTGGTTCAAAAATAATTCCTACCACCCAAGGGAAGGCTTTTTGTCAGGAAGAGGATAATCATAATTCAGACTTCTGGACTGCTGGCTTCTCTTTTCTAGATCAGGATAGATTTTTTTATTCTTCTATAATTCTCTTCATGAAGTGCTAAATTTTGACTAGTAGAAATGAAAGAGACAGTGTTCAAAGTTAATGCTCTTTAGCCTGAAAAGTACAGGTAAGTCTTTACTGGTGTTCTTCAGCAAAGGTAAGTTTAAATGCTTCTTTTTAAACAGAAATAAATGAAAAATTAATTAGAAGTTAGTCTCGAGTACTGTGTTCAGTTCTAGGCCCCTCACTCCAAGAAAGAGTGAGATTCTGGAGTGAGTCCAGAGAAGAGCAACAAAGCTGGTGAAGGGCCGAGAGAACAAGTCTTGTGAGGACTGTTTGAGGGAACTGGGGATGTTTAGTCTGGAGAAAAGGAGGCTGAGGGGAGACCTTATCACTCTCTACAACTACCTGAAAGGAGGTTCTAGGGAGGTGGCGGTTGGTCTCTTTTCCCAAGTAACAAGCAATAGGACAAGAGGAAATGGTGTCAAGTTGTGCCAGGAGAGGTTTAGGATGGATATTAGGAAAATTTCTTCACCGATAGGGTTATCAGACATTGGAACAGGTTGTCCAGGGAAATGGTAGAATCGTCATCCCTGGAGGTATTTAAATGATGGGTGGACTTGGTGCTTAGGGCCATGGTTTAGTGGTGTTTTTTGGCAGCGCTAGGTTGATGGTTGGACTCGATGATCTTCAAGGTCCCTTCCAACTTAGATAATTCTATGATTCTATGAAAAATCCAACTGCCAAAATATCATGTGTACATGTGTGATAGAAAAAATACCTTGTTAAATACACTAAATTAAATTTCAAGATATGCAAACAGATTTACTTTTTTTAAAAAATGCACTGGAAGGGCCTTTCTCACTATCTTAAATTGAGCACCTTCGTAAACTCACATCTCCATAGATCCTCACATTCACATTATGGGTAAATATGGCAGATGTTTTCTGTATAACCTCTCAAACAGAACTTTTTTCATCCATGCACAGGGCTAAATCTCATCACTGCCCCCATTCATCCAACAACTGAATTACTGAAACATGCTTTTTCTGTCTTTTAGGAAAACAACTGTATCCTGCTCTTATCAATGACTCTTCCTTCCCTAGACAACAAACATAAGATAATGCCTTTGTGTTAAGAGTCTCCATGGCCCATGTTCTCCATGCCAATCACCTTTCATTCAGGAATGACCCCTTGTGCCATCTTAGACTGTCTGGTTCTTGCAATTTCAAACAAATATGTTTTGTATCTACCGTTATGCTGACCCTTGTATTTGAGAGGACCTGCCCATACACAGTCACAAACTGACCTAATTACTGACCATCAATCCTTCTTAAATATCCTTCTTTAAGTTGATGCCTACAAAGACATTCCCAACACTCCAGTAAGTTAGGTTGCTGCTGTGCTTGAAACTACTGTCACGCTGACAAAAAATGTCTTACTGCCATGCTGACAAAAAATATCTTACTGTCACCTTGACCTCCCCAACCTGTCCAAGTTCACCATTTTGTCACTGTCATAGAGTATAAGTTCTTTGTTACAAAGATTACCTGCAAAATTCAGTATGATGGAACACCTGGTGACAACTGAGGTTCCAAATACTACAAGATTCCAAGTTGCAGCAACAAATTCTTTATCTGGGATTTATAAGCTTGTTATGGTGATTTTATTTTTTGGCCCATGTAATGTGTCACCTTTTGATTTTAAATGCAGTTTTCACAGGCCAAAGGAAACTGGCTTTTTTTTTCTCCCTGTCATAGTTGTGTCTGCTGAGACTCAGAGGCTATCAATGTCCTACAAAGTTGCAAACCTTATCCATCAAGTTCAACAGAAATACTCTGATTGATATAATTGGAAAGAGGAAAAGTACCCAAGTTTCCACTCCTTTTCTGAGCACTTACCTGGAACTTCATTTTCTGTGCTTTTTTCTTTAACTCTGTCTGTACTTGTGCCAAAATTCTTCAGAAATTCTTTATAATCAATCACATTAGAGTCTCTAACACAGTAATGGTTCCACAGCCTAGAGAAAACGGGCCATTTTTTAGAGAACACAGCTATTCTAGATCATACTTGTAATGAACTGAAGAAAAAGGAAATTTATTAAATCTTTAGAAAAACAATACATAAAAGATTGTGAAAAACAAATATGCAGTGAATTACTTTTTTTAACCTTCCCACTACATTTTCCCCTGGTCTCTTTTCTCTGCCAAGATTGTCTATAGTATGTGAGTTGTCTGCATAATATCATTTAAATCCTATATACAGTGCCATTTTCTTGGCCATCTACATGAACATGAATTTTAATATATCTACACGAGGACTTTTCTCTTCTAATAATATAAGAATATTATGATAGTCTTATACGAATACCAGTGTAACTTATGATAAGTCATACCTAAACTCTGTAGCAAGTTGTCTGGATTTTATAGCAGGCTGGAAAATTTGCAACAGCTTCATCTGGATTAAATGGGAACCTCACTTTGCAATTAGAACTCATTTCCACATGGTATTAAATTCTACAGCTGGGAAATTAATCTTTGATTGCAAGCGTTCATTTTTTAGATATTTTCTCTGATCAGCAGTGAAGTTGCTAATACTGTATACATTTGCTATCCTCAGATTGTATCCAAATGCTTGGAAAAAATGAGCAGTTTTCACCTTTCACAACAACAGTTTCTTAGAGAATCCAGGACCAGTTTATCACAAGTTACTGTGGGATCTATCTCCAGTCCCCTTCAGAAAACGCTGCTGTGACTCATTCATGCTTATGTTTTATCTTCCTAATTATGAAACCTAGAAAGTTGTAGTTTTTAAAATGAAAATTAAAATTCTGTTGCATAAAGAGGATCCATAAATGGTACCATTAGAACACCTTGCGTATCACATGCAACTAAGTTTCTCTCAGCTTCCTTCGCATTTAGCCCCATAAGTAGTCTCTAAATATGATAAAACTTGTGTTTGACTAAAGCATGTCTGACAAAAATGCATCTAGTTAGTTCTGATGAATTTGTTCCAAGGACTAATAACAGAAGAATTGATTGCCTTATTTTTTTCATTTGAATTTGTCTATCTAGTGAAGATACTTCCCCATATGATGTAGTCACCTCTTAAACTCCCTTTTCAAAGGCTAAACAGATTGTCTGCTAACATTAAGCTCGAAAGCATCCACATCGTCCCTTGAATCATGACTGTGGCTTTTTTTTTTTTGCACAATTTTTCAAAACATCCTGGGAATAAGAGCACCTGATGTGAAGCTACATTCTGTTTTTTGACTTTGACAGTATATGAAAATAAAAGTGGCATTTCTGCTCAGTACTTTTCCGAGGTATTTGGGACATTAACCCTTTTGGAGACCCTCATAGTAGCAGCCAGGATCTTAAAAAAAAAAAAAAAGACAAATACCACCCATTTGTAACCTACTACTTGCATCAACCTGGGGGGTGAGGAGGGGAAATTCCACGTGCAATTTATGGGACCATTTAGGTGATAAAGAGAAGAGAACCTGGTTAGCCATTTGGCAAATTCCATTTGGGACAAGAAAAGAGAGCTGCAGTGTAACACACTCTGTGTTCCTCTCTATTCTTTGGGTTGTATGGCAAAATGTCAAGTCATGATTAGCTGCTAAGACATCATAATTCCATCACTTTTGTGGGGTACTGAAAGGCAGGAATTCCTGGTCACAATATCAAATTTACTTAATAAATTTGGGAAGTCATTGACTTGCCTCTTGCCTCAGTTTCCCATATGTAACAACTGAATTATAATCCTGCCCAACTCATGGGTCTATCCTGGTTATCGCAATGAACCGCACACCTGTTTTTGATGCATGTAAGCCACGGGTACATGCATAATTCATGGAGGGCTTCACTTCTTTTCCCCAGCAATTCCCTCACATCCTATTTCCCTTTGAGCCTTCTCTTTGTGTCTTACTAGAGGGTGAGGATTATCTGTGAATTTATTTTCAAGGAAATTTTAAAGGGATTAAGATTATGTTAGCTGTGAGTTGTACATATGGAAATACAGAGTGCATATACAGGCAGTACTGTGACATATGTGAGGTGTGATGGAAACCTATATAATAAAATGGATATATTCAGTTCCTCTTTGAACAAACTACCCATGCACACATTCAAAATAAAAGGAATGCTTCAAAAACGTTTCTGTGACTGCATTAATTGGGGATTAACAGTTCTATTTTATGAAAATGCCAGGAGAAAGAACAGGTTAATAGTAAATCTCAGCATCAGGAATGATACTTTGGCACATTTTAGGAGTCTCTGAAATTTTCCCTTGTTTATAGCTCAGTTTTTGATCTACCAAAAACCCCCAACCTAAAACAAAAAACAGATACATACACAAATTACCATGGCCTTACTACAGAACAGGAACACTCTTCAGTCATTATCCTACATTAGTGACAGCTTTCAGCAACCCATTGGGTACTCTGTTTTCTGTGACATGAAAACAGTTGCATTCCTTCCCCTAGGAACTTTCTACAGTTACTCTCAGGCAATTTCTGCTGCTTTGAACAAAATGGCTTATTATGGATCTGCATATATCAAGGCTGGAAAGCCAATCCCATTTAATAAACAAATAGAAGTACAGAACTAATTACTGGTTCAAAAATGCACTTTTGCCCTCTGTTCTTTATACTTCAGCTTCTTACACAGGATCCTCATGAATAGGCAAGGATCACCATCACGCTTCGCACACCATTAACCACATCCTTACAGAAGGGGCAGGATACAATCTGGACATGTAACAAATGGAGATTGAGTTGGTCTTGGCAGCAGACATTAAAATTGGGCCAGAGCCTGTTTTCATGATAAAAATCAATAGGAGACTTGCTATTGCCCTCATCTGGGCATATGAAGAGAACACAAATTATGTAACATCAGTATTGATTGATCTATGTTAATATGCCTTAAAAAACAAATTATTGGTCCTAATCACCACAATGATTAGTTTGCTTTCATAAATTTATTGACAAAAGAATGTATTTCCAAAGACTAGATTTAAACACTGACACCAGTCTCTTCCATCCTTCTCTATAGAGGGAAGGAGGAAACAAGGTGATTCAGAAATCCTAGTTTCTGGTGTGAGTTCAGGGTGATTCAGAAATCCTAAATTGTGGTCTTCGTCTGCTTGCTCTCTGGATATGCTCATATCTTTTCACTTAGTAGAAAGGGCAAAAAGCCTCAGGTATTTTAAGTTAGCCTTTGGATTGCCTTGCCTTTCCTGTCATTAAGTGATTTCGCTATTTATTTCTATGACTTCTCTATTTACTTCCTTATTTATATAACCTAAACCAATTCATAGGTTATCATCTGAAAAAATATTCCATTACCTGCCTGTGTTCCATACCTGCTTAAGTTTGATCATCGTCAAGATGGAAGGACTGGATTGAAACCAGTTGAAAACAATGAAAATACATTCATTACATTCAAGGGGCACTGGATCAGACCCTCTCTAAATCCCTGTTCTTGAAAATGCACTATCCTTCAGAGCACACGGATCCCAACTACATTAACTTTAGCACTAGTTTTGACTCTGATAGGCTGAAGCATCCAGCCCTGTGCAGCCATAATATTATTGAATCAGTGCCATGAATGTAGCCGGACTACCCAGATCCACAACGTGAGATCTTTGCACAAGTTTTGCTTAAAAGCTAGAAGACTAGCATGTATGTCAGTGCTGATAAGACTATTACACAAACTTTTAAGATCTCATGGATCTTATAAGAAAGATGGATAAAGACTTTTTACCACGTCCTGTTGTGATAGAACAAGGGGTGATGGTTTTAAACTGAAAGAGAGTAGATTCAGGCTAGATGTAAGGAAGAAATTTTTACAAAGAGGGTGGTGAAACAGTGGCACAGGTTGCCCAGAGAGGTGATAGATGCCCCACCCCTGGAAACATTCAAGGTCAGGTGGGACAGGGCTCTGAGCAATCATCCTCACAGGCAAGCTTAGGAAGTGTGGGTTAGACGAATGAACAGTGGGGTGGATTGAGAACTGGCTTACAGATAGAGCTCAGAGGGTTGTGGTTAGTGGCGCAGTGTCTAGTTGGAGGTCAGTAACAAGTGGGGTCCCCCAGGGGTCAGTACTGGGTCCAGTCCTGTTCCATATATTCATCGATGATCTGGATGAAGGGATAGAGTGTACCATCAACAAGTTTGCTGATGACACAAAACTGGGAGGGGTGGCTGACACGGCAGAAGGCTGGAGGCTTTACAGCGAGACCTGGACAGGCTGGGGAGGTGGGCAGAGAGAAACCTGATGAAATTCAACAAGGGTAAGTGTAAGGTAGTGCATCTGGGGAGGAATAACCCCATGCATCAGTACAGGTTGGGGACTGACCTCCTGGAGGGCAGCTCTGTGGAAAGGGACCTGGGAGTCCTGGTGGACAACAGGATGCCCATGAGCCAGCAATGTGCCCTGGTGGCCAGAAGGCCAATGGTATCCTGGGGTGCATCAGGAAGAGTGTGGCCAGCAGGTCGAGGGGGGTCATCCTTCCCCTCTACTCTGCCCTGGTGAGGCTGCATCTGGAGGACTGCGTCCACTTCTGGGCTCCCCAGTTCAAGAAGGACAGGGCTGTGCTGGCGAGGGTACAGCAAAGGGCTACAAAGATGATTAGGGGTTTTGAATATCTCTCATACGAGGAAAGGCTGAGGGACTTGGGTGTCTTTAGTCTAGAGAAAAGAAGATTGAGGGGGGATCTTATTAACGCTTACAAATACTTAAAGGGAGGATGCCAGGGGGATGGGAGCAGTCTTTTTTCAGTGGTGCCCAGTGATAGGACGAGGGGAAATGGGCACAAGCTTGAACATAGGAAGTTCCATCTTAACATGAGGAGGAACTTCTTTACTTTGAGGGTGGCAGAGCACTGGACCAGGCTGCCCAGAGAGGTTGTGGAGGCTCCCACTCTGGAGACATTCAAAACCCGCCTGGACGCTGTCCTGTGCAACCTGCTGTAGGTGACCCTGCTCTGGCGGGGGGGTTGGACTAGATGATCTCCAGA